GTGTAGTCCTCCTAGACACAGTGGTATAGTTTAACTCTTAACAGTAGATCCAAACATTCTGTCCTTAGGAAGAAAGATTTAGCCCTAAAGCCTACTCTCCCTCTACTTTTATTCTAATCACTGCACTCCTTTGGCTTTTGTGTCTCTTGCAGTCACACCTATAATGATTTGCAGGAGACAAAGTGCATGATTTAAATGTGGTGGGTCCTGCATGGCTGAGTAGATGAAAAAAAATTTCCAGATGTGACTGAGAAGTGACACTGAGCTAACAAGTGATGTGCACACTTGATGTTTCAAATCTACTTTTGTCAGTGTATGTTAGAAACAAGAGGAATTAGAGCACCTGGTGCTGAGACAGTGAATGTCCTCCACATGAACTTATTTAAATGGAAGCTGATGACCTCCTGCCTTTTGCAGCCTGGAGTCCTACAGCGCAAGGTTTTTGTGCTTCCTGCTAGTGAGAATTCCAGCTCCTTTGGGGAAAAACAAAAGCAAGTGGTATTCCACAACCAAAATAAGTGTTTCTGAACAACCCTGGTGTGATTAACTCCTGGCTGTGCTCTCAAAAATGCAGAAAAAGAAGCTACCTGTATCTGTATGCATGCATCATACAAAAGAGTCTAGAGGACAACATAAGGAAAAAAATTAACTGTGCAAGGGACATTGTCTGAAATGTCTCCACTTTTAGTCCCTGGAAGTTAAGCAATCAGAAAAGGAAGGCTATGCCACACTCAATTTAGCTGGTGAACACATGCATCAAGTCACTCGGGTTGACAACACCTGGGCCTTTTGCATTCCCACATATGGGGCACCAGAGGAAGCATCAGTGCCACTGAAGTCAAGGCAAAAGTCATAGCGACTTCTGTGAAACCAGGATTTAAACTAGGGTTTCTAAAATGGGATGTAATGATTGAAGACAGTCTTTTTCCTTCACCAAGAAGAATGTATCTTCTGCCTCTAAAATGTGTGAGCATTTTGCCAGAATAAGAAACTACATATCCCTGGAAGTTTTCCAGATTCGTATTAAAATGCAAGGCATTAATATTTCTTCTGTAAGTTAATATGATGTACTTTGAATATGCTGAAAAGAAAGGCAGTTAACAAAAAGCAAAGCTTGTTCCAGGAATAATAATTTTCAATATCTCCCAGAGGCATGTAGACTTTTTACCCTGAAGATGAATTCCCATGAGACCAGAGGGACTACAAATTTTCATGGCAAGTTTTCTTTCTCAGCTATGAAAAGGAAGCTCAGATGACCTATACACTCTACAGAAATCTAAAATACCACAAGCACAGTTAGGAATAAAACAGGCCAAACTGCCTGGCAGTGCTGATTTACCACTTGCTTCAGGCAAGCATCATGCACAAGGCGATCTAAAACTATTTAGCTCTCAGTAGTGTTTTAAAATACCCTCTAAAACATTCTTATAATACATAGGATAAATCTTAGTTATTTTATGAAACATGAAACTTGAAAATACATAATCAGAAATGTGTTAAGATTATTTCATAATGCTCATTTGTTTGCTCTGATGCTTTTAGAGAATGACCCACCTACATTTTTTAGAAGATCTGTCTCTTAATTTTATTTCCTTTTAATTTCTATGTCTTGCAAAGCTCTAGCCTGATTCTCCCTTAGCTTTTCCTGTGTAAATGAGGAATTGCTCTCATGATAACAATGATCTTAAGAGGGCATAGTGGTTTCATGTTTTAACTCTGTTGTTCAGAAACACTGGTAATTTGCATTATTCTTCAATTCGACTGAAACCAAAATGAGGCCCAGAGTATTTATTCTGAATTTAACCATCAGTTATATCCTATGTAATAATAATTTATCCAGTCCTGAAAGTTGCTGACACCAAACACTTTTTTTTTAAAGTAGTTGGCTATTGTTGGATTGCATTAGGAACTTACCTCCTGTTTACAAAGGAAATCCATGTTACATAGTAATGCCAGTCAATCTCATGGGGTGATCCCTCTACCCCTTACACTTGGAACTTCTAATTTCAATTAAATTTTCTTTGATCAAATCCCTCAATCTTTGGTTCTCCTTGTGCCAATCACAATGGAAGAGTCTAAGCCATCATGCCCTTTTTCTGGAGCTGCTGAAGTGCTGGGTCTAGAAAGGCATTCTCCTTAGTCTGATTAGAATGTGTGTGGCTAAATGCAGGGTGTGTGTGCAAGAGCAACACAATCTAAATGTAGAGTCCTGCACCTGGGGAGGAATAACAACATGCACCAGTACAGATTAGGAGCTGACCTGCTAAAATGTGTATAAATATCTGAAGGGTGGGTGTCAAGAAGGAGAGGCCAATCTCCTTTCAGTTATGCCTTGTGATAGGACAAGGGGCAATGGATGCAAACTAGAACGCAGGAAGTTCCACCTCAACTTCTTTAGTGCAAGGGTTACAGAGCACTTGAATAGGCTGCCTAGAGAGGTTGTGGAGTCTCCTTCTCTGGAGACTTTCAAGACCTGTCTGGATATGTTTCTGTGTGACCTGCCCTAGGTGGTCCTGCTGTAGCAGGGGGGTTAGACTCAATGATCTCCAGAGGTCCCTTCCAACCCCTAATATTCTGTGATTTTGCAAGTATTTCTTTCTAAATATCATATGAATTGTCACCTTCTCACTCAAGTGATTAGAGTGCTCAACTCAGATGTGGGAAACTGTTTCAAATCTTCCTGCTGTGTAATGGGAGAGGGCTGATAACTCACCAGAGAGTTTCTTAATCAATGCTATTGCAGGCAGTTTTTTTTCTCCTGATGTTGCTTTTACTTGTACTGAATACCTGTGTGTTCATCAGTTCAAAGCCTGGGGAGGGCTTAAGTCTGCAGTTCAATAATTAGAACTTGCTTTTGGAGGAGAAGTGCTCACTCAGGCTCTCTGTGTGACTGCATAGCAGAACTGAAAATTCATTAGGCGACTATTCTGTTAAGAGAGAACACTGGCTCCCTCTCAGAGCAGCTGGATGTTGAAGAGATTTCCACCTCTTTTTAGATCTAGCTGTAAATGACTTGCTGAACTTCTTAAGACTCCAGAGTGGAGAACTTGGCTGCTTTGTGTGGGTACTGTAGACAGAACTTAATCTAAGTTCTTCATTGCTCACAGAATCCTTTGCCTTATTCCCTGTAACACCTACAGGGAGCTTCTAGGGGAACTATGAGCATGCAACTAATATTATATAAAGCAATTATTTTGAGCAGCAGCACAAAACACGTGCCTGCTGCACAAAATAGATGCTTATTTCATCCCATCTTGCTGCAGGCCAAAGCACAGCCCACCTAACAGCACAGTTCTGTTGTATCTTGCAGAATCTCTCCATCATCCCCTGCATTAGAGTTATGTTTTTTTTCAGCAGTTTCTCTTCCTGTTTGGCTTCCCAAAGCAACAAAGATAGCACTGAGTGAGGAAATCCCTACCTTTTTTTAGGGGCTTCTTGAACCTTGGCCCCTCCCTCCTATGCAAAGCTAAGGTAAGATACATGGCATGGCAAGAGCCTTCCATCAAAGGGCTTTTCTGGAGCAGGCCTAATTACATTGAAAGGCTGTATGTGATGCTTCCATATAACCAGCCTCCACAAAGCTTTCCAGTTGGTGCTGCTTACTTTGGGTTAGCTCCTGACCACATCCAGGTGCTTAGGGAGCACACAGGACAGTCATTCCACTGTTACTTAAAATCCCTTCTCAACCTCACCCCTTCTACCTCACAGAGAACCTCCAAAGCCCTTCAGGTGCACCTGAAAGAAAACAATTTTTGTTTTCTATTTCAACCAATGTTTATATTTTTATATTTTATATATTATATATATTTTTTATGTTTTTATTTAGCTTACCAGTTATAGCTAATTTACACCATATTTTACTATTAAGTTCTTCACATTATTTTCACAATAGCTCTCTGAGGTAAGTTACACAGTGCCTCAGTGTCATTCCCTGTGAGTGGGGGCACCTGAAACACTGCTTAATCCATGAAACGTTCTTCCCTCCCACTTTCTGCTGTGCCAATAAACAAATGCACATCACAGCATTTTCCTTAAGCATAAACTGTGTCTACTCATGATCTTACAGAAGTACATAAGTGACTGTACTTTCTAGGGGGGGCTAAATGCCCTCAAGTGGCACACGGAGCAGCCAGTGCCTCTGCAACTCCACCTGCTACCAGCTGAGCAGCCATAGCAGGTTTTGCTCTAAGATGTGTTGAGAACCTCATTCCATTTTCAAATCAGACATTTTTAGTTCTGTAAGAGGAAGCACTTAATCCAGGGGTCAGTAAAAACATTCCACCAATTATAATTTTGAGAACACTTCTATTTTCCTAAGCATTCCCTTATGAACACTTCTATTATTATTCTTCTTCTACCAAAGCAATATGAGCAGCGTTTGCCTAGAAGCCAGCCCTTCTTGAAACATGTCTTCCTCCCGAGAGGTCTCTGTGCACACCGGATGATTTGGTTAAACAGCCCTTCCATTTTCTGAGCAATCCTTAGAAATAATTCTCCTTGAAAGGACCGCAAGGAAGAGGTTAATTAACGCCTGCTCCTTATGGGGGCTGCGATGCTCGTTTCGGTAAAGGAAAAGCATCACGTAGGGATTCTGCATCAGACGATGCGGAGACGGTGCCGAGGCGAGCTCCCTCTCCGCGGGTACCGCGGCATTCCCCGCGGAAAGGCTCCGCTCCCCG